GGGGCTGGCAGAGCCATCACCCCCCCCCCCCAAAATACATTGAGCCACTGACCCCCAAACACAACGCAGGGGATGTGCGATGCTGCCTTAAATAAAAACGTTGCATCCGGTGATAATTACAGGGTGCAGAAGGTCCCCAGCCTAAAGAGACACCAGAACACAGGGTATTTTTGTAATTATCACCAATTAGTTGTTGGTGCCTAATCGGGGTGATGTCAAAGGGTATGTCCATCCAGCAGCACTTGTTTTGGAAGGGCTGATAAAAGGAGGATGTGCTGTGAGGCACCTGCCTGGGGGCAGCCGTTGCTGCTTAACGGCAGGAGAAAGCATGACCTGTTTAGATCCAGCAGCAAAATTAAAAAAAAAAAAAAAAAAAAAAGATGTTACTGCAATATTTCGCTTTTTAAAGTTCATTTTGCAGTTGGCTCCGTAAAAGTGGCATTTGTGTGTTGTCGCCTGGCAAATCCCAAGTCTTCAACCTCTTGGTCTGCCACGAAATGGTGACAGGAGATGTAAAATCTCAAGTGGAGCGACCGGAGATGAAATGGCCCAAGTGCAGGCTTTCTGTGAGAGCTCGAATGTGTGAAATGCTAAGGCAGAGCAGCAGAAGGGCTGCCAGCACCGGGGAGCATCCCAGGGAAAAGGCCAGCGTGGGTGCAAGGCTGCCTGAGGACACGTTGGGATGGGAACTGGAGGACCTTTCCCCCCCTCCCGGGGGGCCTCTCCTGTGGCAAGATGAAGGAGCAATGGAAACCAAGCCATCAAATGCCTTCAAACGGAGGAGGATTTGTTTAAAAGAGTAGCTGGGGTACTAACCTTTGCTAAACACAGCCCATGGGGAGGAGGGAACCCCCTCTCTGTCCCCCCTGGGCAGCAGGGCTGGCACGCTCTGCAGGCTCGTGCAAAAAAAAACCATTCAACATCTGGTTTTAGGAAAATGTAGGGGTTTTATAGGCCAAGGATGAAATCTGGAGACTATACTTAGTAGCAGACGTTGCAGCCCCCCCTTCCCAGAAGTCGCTCGCTCCCTCGTGCTCCTCCCTCCTTGCATGAGGCAATTAGCTGCCCCCAAAACGTCCGGAATTAGCAGCAATCAGCAATTAGGCGCCGAGACCTGCGGCTGCCCAAAGGTCAGCGCCTGCCTCGCTGAGGACGAGGGATATTTTTAGAGGACAAAGGAAAATCGCTGCTAACGTGCAGTTATTTTCGGGGCCCGTAGAAAAGGCACAGGATGCTCCCCGGCACCGCTCCGCCGTGGATACCGAGAGTGCCCGGGGAGGGGGGGGCAGCAGGGATACCCCACGCCGGAGGTGCACAGCCCCACGTCTCCATCCCCACCCTTCTCAGAGGGTGTTTGGGGGAGGGATGGAGGGAAAGGCGGGCTCCAGCGCAGGTCCTGGGGGCTGCCCCAGGCTCCTGGGGGGTGGAGGTGGCCCCAGTGGTCCCAGCACTAGTGTGGCACGTGCTGGGAGAAACCACTCGGTGAAGTTTTACTGGTGCTGCTTCCCCGTGGGCCAACAGGGGCTTCATCTTCACATCTTCTGCAGGAAATCGGGATTTTGCTGCTCGCGACGGCGAACTCATCACATCAGAGCGAGCAGACAGCCCTTATCTTCCTTCTCTACCACTTGTGTGTCAGCAGTCAGGAGTGGGTTGGGTGCGAGAGGATAAATACGCTGAGGATCAAGAGATGCTCAGAAAATTGGGGAGGGAGAGGTGGAAAGGCTGTGGTTGTTAGTACCTTACACAACAGCTTTCCCTGGCTGGAGGAAGTAGGTGCCAGGGTCAGCAAACCTGACAAAATCAAGAAGAAAAGAGCTGGCTAATTACGTTCCAAGGAGTTTAATTAACGCTAGTGGCACGGGAAATAGGAGGGTGGCCCTGGGTGTTGGAGAGGGCTCCAGCACAAACCCTCTATCGGACACTGGAAAATCCACACACTTCACCCAAAAACATCAACTCAGAAAAGAAAAATGAGTCTCCCCTGCCCACGTGCTTGCAGAGAGCAGGGCCTCAGGAAATCCTCCCGAGAGGAGGCGGCAGCTCTGCCAGCTTCTCCGCTCTGGAAACCGGGGAGCGTTTTTTGGGGGGGAATCGTTAGGAAAAAAAGCAAACGACGCCTTGCTCAGCAGCCTGGCCCCCACAGCGAGCTGTGGGCTAGCGGCCCGTGGGGATGCTGGAGCCCGGCTGACACCCCCTTTCTGCAAGCAGGGGGGGGTGCCCCAGCCCCGTGCAGCGCTGACCCCCCCCATCACCTTTCCCACTGGGACTGCTGGGCCCACCCAGCTCCACAAGCAGCCACCAAGAAGGTTTAGAAGACCCCACAGTGTGTCGTTCGTCCCCCCCCCCAAGCTCCTACAGTTTGGGGACACCCCAAGCACCCCACACGGGGCTCACTGGGGTGCACGGCCGGAGCCATCGGTGTCACAGGGCTGCGAGGAGGCACTGCCATCTGCAACCCTTTCTGCGGCCAACCCCCCTGTCCCCACTTATTTCAGGAGCTTAATCCTGGTGACGGCTCCTGCAGTCCCCCCCCGCCCAATGCCGGAGCGCTGAAACTGGATGCCACTTTCATAGAAATCACCAAAAATCAGGATTGAAAGGATCAGCCCATCCATTCCCCACCACCTGAAGGCAGGAGTTGCCTTAACCTCTGCCCCAGCGATGCTGGAGCGGAGAGCACAGTCAACGTAACACATTTCTTAAATTTATACGTGTTTCATCATTGACTTAAGCCCAGGAGCATTTCAAAGAGTCAAAGCAATGCAAACAACTGTCACTTTATTGTCATTTCCAGCTGTACTGCAAAAGGCACACAACAAACGTCATTGGTACAAAATAATTTTCGCTGCGGGGTTTTTTTTTGTTGTATAGTTTTCCTTGCGTTTTTCTTTCGCAACACAGTCACTGGCTCTCCCATCGCCCTGACGGGAAGATCCTTTCACAGAAAGGACTATTTCGTTCGTGCAGACAGATAGCTCATTATTGCAGGGGGAGCAGGCGGGCACGGCCACCCCGTCCCCCGCGCGGCCACCCCGGCCACCTGCGGAATAAATGGCACCTCTGTGTGTCCCCCCCGTCCCCCCCCATCCCAGCTCCCACTTGCTGGGCTGCTGCTGTCCCAGCTCAGCTGTGGGATAAACTGGGTGTGGGGGGTAAGAAATGGAGAGGCCCCGGTCTAGCTGCACACACACACACCCCCCCTCCCCGGGATTGCTTTCTGAACAGCGTCAAGCATTTCTTTACACAATTTACCCTTTTGCTCCGTCTGTGTTTCTGCAGAGCAGAGGGTGAGGGTCCCCCCCATGGAGGGCACACAGGGCTCACTGGCTGAGGAGGGTGCCAGCAGGACCCCCCCCCTCCAAACTGGGCTCTGCGGCCCTGCTGCCTCGCAGGGGCTGGCACAGGGCGGGGGGGAAAAAAACAAAAAAAAAACAAAAATGAGGCTGGGGATGAATTTAGGGGATTTTCCTGCCCGTAGCAGCCCGTGTGGTTCCAGCACGGTTGCTGGTGCTCACACCAATCCCCTGGCTGGGGATGGCGGGGGCTGGAGCGGGCTGATGCTAGCAAACCCCAGCATCCCAGCCTGGGGTGTGGTGCCCCCAAGAGAGGCTTTTGGGGTGTTTGCTGGGGTCCCCCCAAAACCAGAGTGGTGCACATAGCCCTGAGCCCCAGGCAGCACCCCTCCAGCTGGGTGGGTTTAGGGGATGTAAAGAGAAGCTTTAGGGGCCACCAGCCTCCTGGTCGCCCTGCCAGCGTCAGGCTACCTCCATTATCTTCCCATAATATCCAACGTCCCGGCCCTCGTGCCGGGGGGGGGATCCAGCTCTGGGTTGGGGACACAGCGCCCGCTGCTCCCCCTCCCAGCTCCCACATTATAACACTGAGGCTTTTTTGCACGGTGCCAGTAGCTACGCTCCTTTGCTTTTGGTACCAGTTCCCCCTTCTCAGCTCCCTCCCCCAACATTTCTTATAAAAATAAGATTGTGCTTATTTATAAAATATTTTTTTTTTTCTTTCTAAGAAAAGTTTCCAGTTAAAAAAAGGTGGTATATCAAATATGGCAAAACTTTGGCTGTCAATAGCTAAATTCTAATTAAAAATATCGACTAAAAAGGCATTGTGCTGTGAACGTTAGCTGCTGTAATGCTTTACCCTCCAGCACCGATGGCAGATATTACACCTGGGCAGATTAGCTTCCCTAGGACACGCTCTGAAGCTGCCCTTGGATTTTTCTAGCACATCACCATCATCCTTTAGCAGAACTATTCAAACTGTAAGAGACTTAAAGACACATGAAAAGCCTTGGTAAAATACAACGGAGACTGCACCGGGAAGAGCCACACTTACAACGCAGTTGCATACATATTCTTCTTGAGAGGAAAGTCTATTTTCTCACCTTAGTGCTCAGAAAAAAAAATATGATTGTTTATATGGTTCACTGAAGAAGAGAGGCAGATCTTTTATATAAAAGGTATTTTAGAGCAGAAGTAAAATGCAAATGGGTCTATAAGATCCAGACATATATAAACATACATACCTTGATATATTTATATATGTAAATCTCTATCTAGTCAAAGTTTGGGATGCATTATTGCAATATCCTTACAGGTGACTTATTCTTTTTCATTCTCCTTTGCTTCCGATTTTCTTGGGTGGGTTTGTTTGTTTGTTTGTTTGTTTTTGGTTTGGGGATTTTTCTCTCTCAAAAAAAAATTTAAAAAAAAAAAAAAAAAAAGGAAAAAACCAAGCTGCAAACGGCTCCGAGAGCTCCCAGCCACCAGTCGCCACACTGGGACCGCTCTGGTCTGACCTCCAGCACGTGTTTTTGGAAGAACTGGGTTGATGCTCTGTCCCCGCAGCCACTGGCCGTGTCCTCCTCCACGGTACATCACCCGTGCCCGGAGATCCCCGGCTGGTTATTGCTTAATTCTCCCTCCCCATACTGGCCTTTAGGGTATTTACATTTCTTTGGCTTGACTTGAACACAAGAATCTGGCACTTTCCCTCCGGCGTCGGTTGCCACCAAGCCACCGCCGGAGCCGCCCGGCAGCGCTGAGGATGGGGGCAAGGAGGAGAGGAGGCCACCTTGCCACGAGGCAATGAGAAAACACGGCTTGGCTTCTGCCAGCTCGAACGAGTCGTGCTTCTCCCAGTCGAAATAAGACAGCTTGTGTCCAGCATAAACTCATCCGGAGGAGAAGGGATGCCGGGGGACCGCCGGCGGGACTCCGCCATGCCCGGGGGGGGGGGGGGGGTCTCCATCCCGCCCAACCGTCGGGGCGACCCTCCGAGCGCGATGGTTTCCACGGCCTCGGTTTGCAAGGAGGGGCGCAGGGGAAAGGCAGCGTTGTTGACCCCCAACACAGGGCAGGGAGCCCCGGCCTCCCCCCGCCGAGGGCGGGCAGCCGGTCCTGCCCCGCCGCGGCCCTCAGACGACAAACTCGGGGACTTCATCGTGGGTGAGATCCAGCGAGAAGTATTTGCTGGTTCTTTTGACGGGGAAGGTCTCCTGGATGTTGATGCACTGCTGGGCCAAGCAGCCGTTGCAGTAGAGCCCTTCCTCCTCCAGCCCGTGGGCACAGCCGAAGGTGTAGCTCTGGGCCGTGTCCTGGCAGAGGTTGGCCAACTGCAAGAAGTCCTTCTGGTAGAGCCGAATGTCATCCAGGCTCAGGCTGTGCCGGTCCGTCGACGTCTTCGGTTTCCTGCACGTCGTCTGGGCGAAGCAAAAAGGAAGCTCAGGACCCACCAGGGAGCCAAAGGGGTCAGGGAAACCCAAACCCCAAGTGTCAGCAGGGCTTTGGGTTTCACCAAAGCTCCACCAGCACCACGTACCTGGGGTAAGGAGTCGGTGCTCTGGCCCCGCAGCTTCACCACCGTCTCCGAGGAGCTGGAGGTGGAGGAGCTGATCTCTTTCACGATAAGCCCTGCGTGGAGGAGAGAGGAAGAGGAGGGTGCAAACGTTCTTTTGAGGCTTCTCAGCTCTCTTGGGATCTGTGCTCGCCGCCCCTGGGGGCTTGCTCTTGCTTTGGGGTGAAGGCACCCTCAGCTCCATGGGGTGCCTTCACCCCAGCGGCTCTACTTGCAACCAGCTTTACCTAGAAAGCATCCCAAATCTGCACCAAAATGGCATCCAAAGCCAACCCCAGGGAACCTGGCACCCCAGAGACCTCCCAGTAGCGCCCAGCACGGATCCAGAAAAAGCAGGTGACTCTCTGGGTGAAAGTACAGCTCTGGAGAAGCCAGGCTCACATATGTGATAACAGCACCCGTGCTCATGGAAACAAGAGAGGGGTTGTCACGAAAAGGAGAGCAGAGGCCAGGGATTGAGAACACAGCCAAAATTATGTCCATCGCCCGTGGGCAGCTTCTGCCACCGTCCCCCGGCATCTCCAAATAACCTGGGGTGCCTGGGCACACACCCCTGATGTATCCACCCTGCTCCAACAAAAACCTGCACCTTTCCTGGGCGACCCCTTCTTTTTATAGCTTCACCAAATGTACCCCGTCTCTTCTTCAACCCACTGGGCGAGCGGTTTTTCCCACCATCCCAAATGGACACCTCGGGCTGATTTCACTCTGCCGAACACAAAGCTGTGACTTCCGTTGGAGAATTGGAAATAAAAGCGGCCACCTCCTTACCCGAGTGCCCGTTGAACTTGCGCGACAGCAGCATGTCCTCCGTGATGTAGACGCACATGTCGGGGCTCACCTCCATCTCGCCGGCCTGCTCCAGCTCCCGGGGGTCATCCACCAGCATCTCGATTTCTGCAGGCGAGGAGAAGGTGGGACAAGCCGCTGGCGTGCACCTGCAGAGCACCCTCCGACCCCAACGACCCGCTGAAGCCCAAGCTGGGAAGCCCCACGCTCAGCTGGCGTCTCACCATCGTCCTGGGAATCCTCCTCCAGCCGGTCCTTCCCACCGCTCTCCACCCCGGAGGTGTGGGAGCTGCCGTGGCTGGTCATGGAGCTGCAAGTCTTCAGCTTGCGATGGGCACCGGCGCCGGAGAAGCCGTCCTCGGGCCCCATCTCCCTGGCTTTGGGGTCGCTCTCGATGCCCGAGGTGTGGGAGCTGCCGTGGCTGGCGGTGGAGTGCCGGGAGAGGCGTTTGTGCCGGATGCTGCCGGCGCTGCTGCCGCTGGCCCGCGAGCGCTTCTCCAGCTGCTCCATGTCCAGGTCCAGGGTGTCGCTGATGTAGGACTCGCGGTACTGCTTCTTCTCTGAGAGGCCAGCAGCACGGCGTCGGCGCGCGGCAGCCTGCACTCCGACCCCCCCCCCCCCCCTTGGGGTGCCCTGGCCACCCTGGGAAGGGCAGGGCACCCACCCCCCAGCACCCAAGGGCACCCAGGGGCACCGAGAAAACCCGGTGGCATTTGGGGATGGTGGGGCGGGGAGCCTCAAACTCGCTGTGCCCTGTGCTGTGCTGCCTGTCCCTCCAAAGGAAGAGGAGGAAGGAAAAGGCAAAAGAGGAGGAAGAAGAGGAAGAGGCAGAAGAGGAGGAGGAAGAGGAAGAAGAGAAGGAATAGGAGGAAGAAGAGGAGGAGGAGGAGGAAGAAGAGGAGGAGGAGGAGGAAGAAGAGGAGGAGGAGGAGGAAGAAGAGGAGGGAGAAGAGGAAGAAAAAAAAAAAGAAGGATGAAGGTGAGGAAGAGGAAGAAGATAAGGAGGAGGAAGAAGAAGATGAGGAGGAAGGATAAGAGAATGTGGGAAAGGAGGGAAAGGAAAAGGAAAAAAAAAAAGAGGGATGAAGATGAGGAAGAGGAACAAGATAAGGAGAAGGAAGAAGAAGATGAGGAGGAAGGATAAGAGAATGTGGGAAAGGAGGGAAGGGAGAAGGAAAAAAAAAAGAAGGATGAAGATGAGGAAGAGGAACAAGATAAGGAGGAGGAAGAAGAAGATGAGGAGGAAGGATAAGAGAATGTGGGAAAGGAGGGAAGGGAGAAGGAAAAAAAAAAGAAGGATGAAGATGAGGAAGAGGAACAAGATAAGGAGGAGGAAGAAGAAGATGAGGAGGAAGGATAAGAGAATGTGGGAAAGGAGGGAAGGGAGAAGGAAAAAAAAAAGAAGGATGAAGATGAGGAAGAGGAACAAGATAAGGAGGAGGAGGAAAAAGATGATGAGGAGGAAGGGTAAGAGGAAGATGAGGAGGAAGATCTTATGTTTGCACAAGGGCTTTCTGAGCTTGGGGATGGGCTGCGGGGCACTGGGAAGCACTGCACTGAGGAACTGGGCCGTCAGGGACCCCAGCAGGGCTTGTGCCCACCCCTAAGCAGCTGGGGGGGGGGGGGGGGGGGGGGCGGGTCTGGGGGCACCCAGCCCAGCCAGGAGAGAGTCTGCCAGGCAGGGCCGGGGTGCACCGTCAAGGGGGGGACACAGGGGCAGCCACCCCCAAACCACAGGGCTGGGCGCAAGGACCAGGCGCCGGTACAGGCAGAAAAGCCGGGTGGGAGCCCGGCATGGGTGGGATTTGCACTTTGGGGGGGTTGGACACCTACCCTCATTCTCCTCCAGCTTGCGGACCTGGCGCAGGACGGGCTGCAGGTTCATGTAGAGCCGGTGGCTGCTGCTGAGCAGCTGCAGGAGGTGGCGGGAGCGCAGCGGGCAGCCCGTGTAGTAAATGAGTTTCCTGGCCGAGGGCAGCCCGTCTGGCAGGATCTCGAATTTCTTGCCCTACGTGGGAGAGGAGGGACATCAACCCCAGAGAGGAAAATACTCTAGCTGTCGCCCAGCCCTGCTGCAGCCCACCTATTAACCCGCTCAGCTTGCAACCACCCCGCGCGAGGTCTGGGCAGCAGCACCCCACGCCCAAAGCAGAGCCCGGGAGCGCCGTGGGTGGAGATGCTCTGCCTGGGGACGGTGGCACTCACCACAAACACCAGTTTCCCCACGTTTGTCCAAGGGAAGTCGTAGAGCAGCTGCTTTTCCTCATCCAAGTTCTGCGAAAAGAGGAGAGGCAGGGGCTGCCCACTCCTGCCCGGCAGCGGGCAGGGAGCCGAGCCATCGCCCTCCCTCAGCCAACTACCTGGAAGATCTGGATGCCCCGGGTCGTCAGCCCCAGCGTCAGGGAGGCCTCCACCTCCCTTTTGTCCTAAGAGAGGGGAAAATTAGATGTTTTTAAATACACAATTTGCTGCATGAAGTGGATAAATCTGTGCGTGTCCTCCCCCTCCCCGCCCAGGTAACCTCCTGAAGTCACCCCATCTCTCAAGCAGCAGCAATGAATCATAGAATCATTTAGGTTGGAAAAGACCCTTAAGATCATCAAGCCCAACCATTTAATTAATGATGCGCTCGTATCACCCGGTCGCATCCTCTCACACCCTCCCCCAGTCTCACCCCCAGGTGCCTGCTGCTCTCCTCAGCGCCCAGGAACACCCCAGCTCAAGGGTCTGGAAAAGCAGCTGAACCTCAAAAAACTTGGAAGAACCTTTAGAAACCAAGCTGGGGCGCTTCTACACTTGAGCTCAACCTGCTCCTGCACCAGCACAGAGCGGGTGACGGTGGGACAGCCCACTCTGCCTGCAGCAGCACGGGTGGCACCAGCCACACACATTGCCACTGGCCCCCGTGCACATTTCCCTGGAGGGATGGAAAAAAGGTTTTGTTTTGTTTTGTTTTTTTTTTACAGCCCTTTTTAAAACCGTACTCCCCTTGCTGTGCTCAGGTGCTCTCTGTACTTGCCATTCCCTGTGCTTTCCTGAAGGCTTCTCCTCTCTAACTTAAAGACATTACAAAATGGGTTGCAAAGCACCAGCTCCCAACAAACAAATCTCTTTGCTGGGAGAAAAACCCAGCATATATTTGTTAGGGACCTCTACGAAAAAAATAAGATCCCAGAAACCTTGCGGCTGTCTGCTCGCACCCTGGCAAACCTCTCATCTCTCTCCATAACTTGTAGAAAACGGCAGGACTAAAAAAAGCTGCATCTCCCTGCCTCTGGGAACGAAGCACTGCCCTCCAGACTGCTCTGCTCCAGCCAGCAAGTGCCAATTCAAATGCAGCTCTTCCCAAAATACCTTAGAAATTGCTTGGCAGTTGCTCCTTTCAATAATAAGCAGCCCTGGACCCAAAGCCCAGCCTGGGCTCGTGGCCGGGGCTCACCTTGTACAACCTGTAGTAGTGCACAGCCACGTCGTCCAGCCGGACGGCCTCCTTGATGTATTTGAGATGGGCTTCGGAGGCTGTCAGGGCGAACTGATCTTTGTGCATGTTTGGGACGTGCTTCAGGATGTAGTCCTTGCCCCGCTTTGCCACTACCTGTTTGGAGGAGAAGAGAAATTCATCCAGGGGAGCTGCTCCATGGTCGCTTGGGGCCAGACGCCAGCCCTGGCGCTCCCGGGCAGCGGCGATTTCAAGGGAAAAGGGAAATCGGAGCAACACGCTCCATTATAGAGACCTGCAAGCAAAAATAAAATAGATACAGCAGCCAACAACTTCTCAGTGCCCGTCCCGTGGAGCTCACGCCACCGGTGACACCCGTGCCAGGGCAGAGAGACCCACGCACGGGGTCCCTGCGTGGCCGGGGACACAGCCCCGGGGCCACCGCTCCTCAGCGACACGTACAACAAAAAGAGAAGCTGGTAGATTTGGGGCAAACCCCAGAAAGCGGGCAACAGTGCCCACCACTTTTATTAATTTTCACCTTGCCGGCATCGGCTGCCGGGAACTGTAAGGGGAGGTTCAGCTGTTTGGGGTCCAAGGGCACATCCCACGCGGCTGCGCAGCCCCCCACCGCTCCTCCCTAATATTTACTTGTCTGGTAATAAATAAACTGGGGTTTGGGTACCCCGGGCTCTCCCTGCTGAAGGGGGGGCCGTGCTGAAGTGGGGGTCCCAGCCGGGAGCTGCCTGTGTCACCGCTGTGCCATACAGGACCGCTCCCTCCTCCGCCCTGCCTGCCAGTCGGAGGTGACCTGGGGCTGGGGGTCACCCCGTGCCCTGCCTCAGTTTCCCTCCAGGACTACCCCCAGGAACTGCCTACACCCGTGACCGCCGCCAGCACCGAGGACACCAGTTCCCAAAAGCCCGAGGGGGTGCGCACGATGCCGGTGGGGCGATGGCACATGGCCCACAGGGAAGCCCCCCCACCCCCCCGAGCATCCCCGCAGCATGCAGGGAAACCCCCACCAGCTGTACGAGCTGCCCCAGCCACCACACCGCCCCCAGCCCTCCCTGCCCGCATCTATTTGCAGCCCCACAGTTGTCAGAGGTTATAAATAACCGGGATTAAGCCAGGGGCAGGGAGGCAGCGGGACCGCTGGCCGCCCGGGAAGCCTCCAAGCAGCCTCGTGGGGGGTTTTCACGCGAGCTTTGAGCGGGCACCCCGTCACGGCACGCTTACCCAGGCGGGGAAATAAGCTTCGGGCTCAAAGTACTTCCCGTAGTGCTTGTTGCGCTTGAAGTCGCCCAGGTCGGCTTGGAGGGCGAAGGCGGTGAGGAGGAAGTAAGCCTCCTCGCGCAGCACGCACTGCGAGTGCAGCACTTGCTTCCGCAGGTGCCAGTAGTAGTAGTAGCGTGCGGTCCGGTCGCTGCAGGGAGGGGGGGGTGGGTGGGGAGCAGAGGGAAGCCGGTGGGACACCCACCCGTGACCGAGACCAGGGGGTGGGAGCCAGCCCCGGCACCTTCCTCCCCGTGGGAAGCTCGTACAGAGAGCGCAGGGCCGAGCGCCGAGGCGTTCGCTCCCTTTTCCCCCATTCCTTAAAGCTGGGGGGGGGGTGTGGGGGGGGTGTCCCGTTAAGGGGTGCAGAACAGCAGCTGCTTCACTGTGTTGAAACTTCCAGGCCTCCCACAGCCAGAATAACGCACCCCACCCCGGCCCCCCCGCCAGCATCCCCGTGTGGCTGCAGACGCCACCGTGTCCCCACGCACCCAACACCCTGAAAATCCCCTTTTTGCCCCGCGACAGGACCCGAAGCTCCCGCCTGGCCGCAGGGTGAATTAAAATCAGGCCGTGCCACGGGTTAAACGGTGATAAAAACCCTAAAGCCACGTCCCCCCCCTGCCCTCCCCCAAAGGCTTTGTCATCGCCGCGTCCCCCCACTCGCCACAAACAGCCCCAGTTGAAGGGATGAGCTTTTGGGAGGGGAGCAGCGCCCCGCAGCAGCCCCAGCGAGCGGTACGCGAGCCAGGGGCACCCCAGGGTGACCCCCCTGTCAGCCACGGGTGGGTGCCCACCGTGGGGGGGGGGGGATGGAGGAGGGGGGGTGTGGGGGTGCACCCTACCTGATCAGCCTGCCGTTCTCCACGTAGTACTGCACGCGGAAGTGGATGATCATCGGGGGGCCAAACTGGTCGATCCCCTGAAACAGAGGAGATATTCAGGGCTCCTGCGGAGACCCCGGCATCGCGCCCCGGCCCCCAGCCCCTCGCCTCGGCTCGCCCTGGGGCCAGGTCAGTCACAACCCCCCCCCCTTTCCCCCCCCCCGCAGGGTGAAAGCCACAGGGAAGGGCTCCCTCGCTAACACCCATCGCGTTTTTTTTTTTTTTCCTGAATTAGAGTTTGACACCCATTTTTTTTTTTTTCCCCCCCCAGTATGAGGAAACACGAAGGGGATTTGGATTTGAAGAAGCAGGTGGCTGGGTTTGAGACCCCCCAGGGGTCTGCAGCCCCCCCACCGCCGCTGTCCCGCTCCCACCCAGTCCATCACCCACCAGTCCCCATCTTGGGTGCCGAGTCAGTGCCAGCACAGGAGCCTTCTCACCAACCGCCCCTCGGCACATGGCAACGAAATAATTAAAAGGTGTTTTGCACGGGGGGGAAAAAAAAAAAAACCAAACGCTTCATTTTAGAAACTGGAAGGGACCCCTTAAAGATTCTCCTGAAGTATAAGGAAGTAAGGGAGGAAAAAACCCACAGCTCCAGGGTGGGGAGTGTGGAAGACACGTGAGTGCGCGCGGTGGCACTCGGGGTGATGGCCATCAAGCATCACCCAGGTTTTGTTTCACACACCCACCCCCCATCCCCGCGCTGGCCGACAGCCAAGCGTCACCCCCCCCCCCCCCCCTCGCCCCTCGGCTGCGTTCCCGGGTCCTGGAAGTGACCTGCGACGGGGACAGAGGTGGCCTTACTGCCGTCAGCTCTCCATGCAAGACCTCACCGCTGACCTTGCTGGCCTCCTTCTTCCACTCCTTGGGGCAATACTTGTAGAGTTTCTGGGCCAGGTCCATGTACACGTGCTCATTGTCTGGGCAGGACAGAGGGTGGCATCAGCATCCCCCGCGTGTCCCTTGCGTCCCACCAAGCCCTGCCCTTGGGCCACCCTGATCCATCGGTGGGTGGCGGGGGGGGGGGGGGGGGGTGGTCCGTAACCTTCTCATCACCTAACGAAAGGCCACTAAAGGGCTGAGGAAATTTGTCCCCACCTTTGGGCAAAGACACCCCACCCTACTCGGTGGCATCACGCCTTGCCGAGCCGTGGTGGCATCAGGCTGAACCAGCCACGGGCAACAAAAACCCACGGTGCAAGCCCCTGACTTACTCTGGATGACGCTGAGCCCGAAGAGGTGACAGTCCTTCAGCCTCAGGAGGTCACACACCTGCACCAGTAACTCGTGGCACAAATCTTCACCTGTACAAAATAAACCCCACACGTGGTCCCCGCTGCATCCGTGCCCAGCTGAGCCGGGCAGGAGGCACCGAACCCCCACACCAGGTCCCCAAGCAGGACCGGGGGGGGGGGGGGGGGGACAGGCTGGGCTGAGGGGCTTATTTTTCCATAGGGCCAACATGGATTTCCCCAAAAGCAAGCTCCCACCCTGGGGTGCAGGACCAGAGCTCTCCCGGGGATGGGATGCACGGGGGACCCCGGGGCAGCTCGAGAGCAGCGGGCGGTGGTGGAGACCTCGCTGCAACCAGCCTGGCACTGGGAGATGGCTTTGGGGACAGAAAACAGAATATTGAGTGATGGTGAATTAAAAAAAAAAAAAATCAGAAGTGAGGGAACTTCATATTCCATACTACATCTGAATCAGAGCCAAACTCCTTCTTGTTTATTCGCTGGGGTGCACGAGGCTGCATTGCCACCCACGGTGGATGTGTGGAGGACCAAAGGAGGCAGGATTCCCACATCCCCTGGGGATGGCACGCAGCAGGTCACCCGCCCAAAATCACGGCGCTGCCGGCAGCACATTGAGTCAAGAAGAAGCAGGAGAGCGTGCAACACTGCTGCAGCCTTCAGGGGGAATAACTCATGTGCATTTCTCTGGCAGGGCGAGGCGGGCAGGCTCAAAATTCCACCCAGAAGCAAAAACCCGAGCTCTGCAAATGCACCCAGGTGCGACGAAAACGTCGGTGCCGAGGGGGTTCCCCGGGCCCCCGCGCTGCCTTACGTTGATGATGATGTTGAGGGAGTCGTCGTTGGGGAGGAAGATGCAAACGCTGCGGCGGTCCTGCATGACTCTGTTGTTGTGGAAGGTCAGTTTGTTCATCGTGGTCCGGGCTCAGGGCTCGGGGAGGGTGGGGGGGCACCTCACCGGCGGGCCGGGGCGGCCTCGGTCCCCGCGGGCGCCATCCCTGCGGGCGAAAGGGGAGCTGAGCCCCGTGCGCAGCACCCCCAGCTTCCCACACCCACATCCTTGCCACCCAGCACCATGTCCCCCCAGAAGCGGGGCGTCCCCCAAAACCCCCCGGGTGCACCCCCACCACAACCACCCCTCATCCCAACCCCGGCGCTGCGGTTAGGGTAGAGCAGGATCACAGCCGAGCCCAAAAAACCTGACCCAGCAGTTTTACTCTCCCAGCTCGGGTTCAGAAAAACCTCAGGAAAGGCTTTCCTGGCATAATTTAAAAAAAAAAAAAAAAAAAAAAAAAAAAAAAAAAGTCCATCTGCTGGGAAGCAAACCCGACTCCGCTGGAAAGGAGCAGAATGGCAAAAAGCAAAAATTTTGTCAGCAGCAAAAAGGCGAGGGGCTGATGTGGGGTCCCATGGCAGGACCCCCCCGTCCCTTCTAGCATCATCTCCCCCAGCTCCAGCTCTTTACGGTGGTTTAGTAAAGCAACCCAAGCACTAACAGTGATTTGCAGATGGGAATCGCTGTCTCTTGCCCTTTCCCAACATTCACCTAAATCCGTACCAGGTGAACCCATCCTTGCACTAACCCCAGGCACTCCTTATTTTCAAGAGCAAATATTCCTTAAGCACTTTTTACCCCACGACCATCCCCAGGGACACAAATGCACCCACGACGCCATGAGTAAGGATCCTTAAACTCTATAGTTCACCCTTTTCCTAACCCATAGATTTATGCTGGCACGGAGGACAGTATAGTGTCTCCCTCTTCACCAAATATTTGCTTTGGTTTACATGAGAATGCCTTTGGCTTCAAAACAGTTTAACTTGCATATTTGTACAGCAGAGAAAAAAGTGCCCTGAGGTGACTTTGTGTTAGGTAGTTACTGGGGTTTTGCAGAAGTTGGGAAATCCAGGGGTGATGCTCTCTCGCCACACCACGCCGGGTTTGCACCACCAAGGCCCCGTGCAGCTGTGCAGTGTGGCCGTGCACTGCACCTGTGCATTGCATTTGTGCATTGTGGCCAGGCACTGCACCCGTGCATTGCACCCGTGCACTGTGGCAGTGCATTGCATCCATGTACCACGGCCGTGCATCATGGCCGTGCATTGCACCCGTGCATTGCATCACAGCTGTGCATCGTGGCCATGCATTGCATCCATGCATTGTGGCAGCGCACTGCAGCAATGCATTGCCTCTTTGCATTGCATCAGAGCATCGTGGCCGTGCACTGCAGCAATGCATTGCCTCTTTGCATTGCATCGGAGCATCGTGGCCGTGCACTGCAGCAATGCATTGCCTCTTTGCATTGCATCGGAGCATCGTGGCCGTGCACTGCAGCAATGCATTGCCTCTTTGCATTGCATCAGAGCATCGTGGCCGTGCACTGCAGCAATGCACTGCCTCTTTGCATTGCATCAGAGCATCGTGGCCGTGCACTGCAGCAATGCATTGCCTCTTTGCATTGCATCGGAGCATCGTGGCCCTGCACTGCAGCAATGCATTGCCTCTTTGCATTGCATCAGAGCATCGTGGCCATGCACTGCAGCAATGCATTGCATCTGTGCATTGCAGCTGTGCACTGTGGCCATGCATTGCATCCACGTATCACAGCCGTGCACCGTGGCCGCGCACTGCAGCTGTGCCTTGTGCCTGTGCATCGCATCCCTGCATCGTCCCTGCACCAGGCATGACTGATCCCAACTGGGAGCAAACAGCGGGGCGGATGGGTTGGTGTCGAGGTTCGTGAAAAATCACAGCGGTGAACAAAAAGGGGGCTGAGGGGATTTGGCAAACACCCTCGCCCCAGCCCTCCTGCACCGACAACGTGCTGGGCGTGAAGCGACTTGCACCGGCCGCGGCAGGGAGGGCACCCCATCCCCGGCAAAGCAGCCGTGTCCCGGAGCACCCTCCGCATCCCGCACCCACCCAAAACCCTCCCACAGCCCCCACGCATGCACCAGAGCACCTTCCCACCCGGCTGAGAATTACAGCAGGCTCAGAACTACAGCCGCAGGCACAAACCACCCTTGATTTCTTGGGAACCCATCCCCAAGAGGTTATTCTCTGCCCCGCACACCCACAGCATCCCTGTTGCAGGAATGAGCCTGGAGCAGCCAGTTGGGAACAGGTCCCTCCTCCATCACAGCCTCTGCACCAAAACTCTGCTCGCAGCGGGAAACACCTGAGGAAAACACCTTCTTAAAAGCACTTGGAAATGAAACCAAGCCTTCAGCCAAAACCCCAGTGTCACAGCTCATCACCTCACTGCCTCCAACAACCAGGCAGGGGCTGGGCATCAGGCCCCACCGTCCAGCTAGGGCATCCCCCCGGGAGTGTTCCACGCTGTTCTTGGCATCCCGGGGCTGTTTATCTCCACGTCAGTCAATATATTTACTCCTCCTCCTGCAGCCTGACTTGGTCCCCGAGCACCGGGGATTAAAGCGCACGAGCTGGTGTCAGCGGAGCACAGGCCATCGGGCAACCCGGTTGGGACGGCACCACCGGAGCCAAAGAAAACATCTCCCCCCCAGCAGCAGCTCTGCAGGGCCCTACCTCCGAGAGCAAGCAAACCACCGGAGGGGAAAAAAAAAAAAAAAACCACATGTATTTTGATATTTGCATAGAAAATGCTCCAACTCCTGCTGCTGAATGATAACACCCCATCAGACAACCGCTATGGGGGTGCCCAGCGGCTTTGCGAGACCCCGCTCAGCTCCAGGAGTTTCCCCCCAGGCTCTGCCAGCCCTCTGCGAGCTGGAGCCGCGGCAGATTTAGCAAGAGGGCACAAAAAGCCCTTTCCAGGGTGATGTGCCTCCAGCAGCCTCGGCCAGACGCCGGCAAATTCTTTCCAAGCATCTGCTGCTCATTCCTACAATGTCAGCTTTGATTCCCCAGGACCCCGCACCGAGTCGCTTCTGCTCCGGCGCAAGCGCTGACATGAGGCATGAACATGTCCGGATCCGAGCTGGAAAGAACCTGGATTGCAGGGAGAGCCCCCCTGGAAGGCCACACCGGGGTGGGGGTGACACAGGTTACCCCACGACCCGAGTGGGAACCCCCACCCCAGGCAGTTTTGCAAGGGGTTTTCCATCCGGAGAGCAAAGCCGGCTGGAAAAAACACTGGGAATGAAGACTCAGGCATGGATCAGCCGCTGCAGCGCTGGGAGATCCAGGTCTTCCAGCTGTGTTTTCCCTGCTATAGGGAAAAGAGCATTAAAACTCCATAGGAAGGCTTTGCAAACACCCTATGCACCTTGTAACTCCAGGGCTACGTGGAGAAAATTCCTCGATCCGCCGTGTTTTTCAGCCCAGGCTGCTGGAATACTGTCTCCCTCCCTTGTACCAATTCCACGGGATAAACCCCGTCGCAAAGCTGTGCTGTAAAGAAAACATCACGCAATAAACCTGCTGGCCGGCGCGGCTTGGAAAAAGCAGCTCGGGCTGTCGCTGCTGACTCGGCGGGGGATTTATTCAGCACGGGGTCTTGCAAACACGGCCGAGGGCAGGCAGAGCCTGGGCCCGGTTCAGATGGAGGTGCTGGAGCCACGTGCCAGGCTCTCATAGGAAATATAAATTTGGATGCAGTTCCAGGACTGGGGATTTAACATCGCTTGAACTTGCTGGTTGAGGTGGGTTTTTCTTCCGAAGAAGCAAGAGAGCAGCTTCTGCGCATGCGAAGAGAGGCTGGTTTGCGTGTGTGGCATTTCTTCCCCCCTCCTTGTATTTAATTATATTTAAAAGAAGCGGCTGAGTCTCTATGCCCATGGGTTTGGTCACATTTGTACCCCCGTGGCACCATCACGGTGTTGAATGCTCAACCCAGCCCCCAGACAGACCCAGCCCGTTTCTCCATCACCCAAATTCACCCCTCCCCTTGCCAAAATATCAATTAAAAAAAAAAAAAATTCTGCCCTATCAGATACCTAACCCATTGCCGGGCTTTTGTTCCAGCCCTCCCAAGCCCCAACAAGGGCGAGGGAAGGGATTCGGCACGGGACCCACACGTAGACACGGGCTGTCCTGCAGCAAGAGGCAGCCCAAAGGGCAGAGCAAGATGGGAAGATGAATTCACAGGGCAGGAATTTCTTGTTTTTAAGAGTTTAGAGTCAGTTTCACCCCACATCACAGGGTGCAGGTATGCGTGAGCTGTTATTACAAGTTTTAAGGCCGTCACTTAATGCAGCTCCTACTAACCCAAAAGCCAGATTAATTCCTGCTTGTGGTTGCCCCGTAATTAAAATCGTCTCCAATTCTTCATGAACTCAACAGTTTCCTCCTAATGAAGAGAGGCAGATGAAAGAGACCTTCACTGGGAAAAAGGACTCGGTTATAAATATTACATTACTTCATCCACCACAAAAGCTCTTTGGATGCTGGAAACTCAGCCTGGGCAGCCGGGGGCCAGCCCCACCAGCCCCACCGGCCCTAGCAGATGCCCCCGAGGGCTGGAGGTATCCAAAAAGCTTCTGCAAGGAAGGTTCCCCCAGGAGTTCGCCTGCCTCTACCTCTGCAACACTCCTCTTCTGCCTCCTCCTCTTCCTCCCCTTTGGCTGCTGCAATGGGACAAGAGCAGCGGGCAGCATGGGTGCTGGGGACACCCGGGGGCAGCTGCAAAGGGCCAACCCAAGGGCATCATCCAAAAAACGGGATAATGGCCTCTCTGTCCCCTCCTATTTGTGTCACAGCTGCAATCGCAGCCAGTGCTGGGGACGAGCCCCGTGGGACATCACATCAGGGCATGGGGAAACACGGGCCGAGCCCCGGCAGCTCGGGAAATCGCTCCCCCCTGCCCGTCCTTCTGCCATGTGCACGGAGCTGAATCCGGCCTGGAAGCGCTGATTTTCCATCCCCCTGCACCCCATGGCATCCCAGGCCTCTTCATTCCCTTACTTTGGCGCACTAAAATATAAATAAAAGCGGCACAGCCTCCGCCGAGGATGCGTGCAGAAACGCATTTCGCCTGGCACAGGCTCCAGCGAGGGAGGGACGGCGCCTGCCCTT